TTCACAACACAGCCAATCATGCTCTGAGGAGGCAGCGAGAGGCCTTGGCTCCCGGGGAAGTATTATCCATCCAGAGTCCACCCATGAAGCGTCATGCAAAAAAAATGAAGAGACTCAGGATTGCCAAGCTTAAGACAAAGACCTGCTTGTGCCCAGTTACTGGAGCAGATTATAATTCTGCGCCAGGCTGATGAGACAGACAGATGAGGGCTCATCAACTGCTATGGGAAGGCCCATGTCGACACGGTTTTTACACCGGTCCTTCTCACCCACAAGTTTTCCGACGACATTTGGGGGCAGGGGGCGGAGATAGAGTAGTTGCAATTCACGGACAAAAGCAAATTTCCATGAGGGAGGTTTCTAAAGACACTTTCCTGAGAACTGAGATCATGCAGCTATCTTAAAAGTCAGCAGACATCCCTGACTTCTACTAAAAATCAGTGTCTCTGACTAGAGTGGGCGCCTCTCATCCTTTAAGAAGAGCCAATAAGTGAATGTCGGTGTGTGTCTGTGAAAAAACAGGAGAAAAATGAGCTCTATGTTGTTCATAGTTATGAGATGCATCTTCCTCTAAGAAGATACATCATTTTAGTAATTACTGAATTTTTTCCACTGACTTTCCATATACACTATTTTGATATGTTTTATACAACTTTTACTAATCCTCTTGTCCAGGGCATTTATATACAGCTATAGGTTCTGAAGACATTAACAAAGTAAAACATTTTTTTTTCCTTTTGATGGAAAGCTGGCCTAAATATTAAAAAATATACTAAAACATGGCTGGTAGCATCTGTTTTGATTACCTTAGCTTCATCCTCAACGAGTCAGTTAAAAGTCACAACAATTTGTTCTCACATCTCTTCCAGATATCCATTTTATTTTCCAGTCCTGCTGTTAGTCAAAGCCCACTTCAACCTCTGCAGTGGTGGGGAAGTCGTGCCACATCTACCTGACCCCCAAGATTGGCCACAGGTCTGTCTCAAAAAAAAAAAAAGGTGATGACATCACCTGGGCAACTGGGGGACTAGAAGGGTCTGAGGATAACAGCAAAACTGATGCTAACTCAGAATAGACAGGTCCAGATTAAACTGATACCTTCAGCCTCTGCCTCATCATCAAAGCCCTCAAGGAACCAAGAGGCAGGAAATAGCAGAAAAATACTGGATTGTCGGAAAAGTCATGACACAGTTTTGCTTGAAAAACAGAAAAAAATACGTCATGACTTTTCCGACAACCCAATATTATGCACAGTGGAAAGCTCACTTCTGATTAGATTGTCAACACAGCCCCACAGCTGTGGCACTGATCTTTAGCTACAGAACTTTCTGGAACAGTTAAAGGTCCTGGGGAATGCTTAGTCTGTGGCTGCAGGGTTGACAGCTGCCAACCTCAGGGCGTCACAGGTGACATCAGCAGAGGTAGGTGCTGCAGAGTCCAGCCAATTAGGAGCTACAAAGAAAATGTTTCCATAAAAGATTGTTTGGCACACACACAAAGAGAGGTAGTAAGGACATAACATTGGAGTGGGCAGGAAAAAAAAAAATAATACATTAAACCTTGTTAGAGTTACTCTAAGTTATACAGAAATTTAAAAAAACAAGACAGTAAGAGTGAAATGAAAGCAAACCACTGACTTCTTTTTTTAGCACTTACATCCTACTTCATATTTTGCTATTTCACACCAAACAACTTAGTCAAATCTACTCAACTTCGAAGTTCATGAGTTTCTGAAAAGCTATATGTAAAAGAACAATATGGTTTCTACAAAATAACAGTGGGCATTTCAGTAAGGATATAATGGCTGCTCTATTTTAAGAAATCTGGCTGGATCCTATATCCATTTCTGTTCACATCAATCATCATTAATGATCCTTAAGCAAGTAATTAGAATATTAACATCTTTTACAAATAATAAGTTTAATATCATTTTAATCATATATTACAAAGAAACATAATGAGCATTGTGTATGCAGTATGGTTAAATGTGCCAGTGCCAATTAAAGTCATTATGAAAGTAAAGATACTAAGTGTTTTTAATTAAACTGGTCATCTCTCAATTGAGAGTGGTGTGGGGTTGAATAAAACATAATAAAAATCATATCTGACAAGCCGAGGGCTGGCTAGCTAGTATTCCCTGCATCCAGGCCCACCCTATTTCGGTTTAGGCAAGCAGGCTTGCTGACTCTGCTAATAATGACTTTTTGATCTCCTTGATGGTAAATGGAAACCAATTCTGAGTATTTCCAGGGCTGGATGTTTGGTACATCCCAAGTTTCATACTCTAGTCAATGTAGAAGAAGAAATAACATACCACAAACCACTTCACTCAAATACCAAATCTGTGACCAAATCCCAGGGCTGAAAAGAACCTCTAGCCATCTAACCTGGGTCCACGAATCCTGGCAGATAATCTACCTAACTATTGAACAAAAATTATTTATCCTGGATTTTATTAAGTCAAATTGAACTAACACTAGAGTGCACAAATAGGAGGGAAGAGAACATTTTGGCATATAAAGTTTCCATAAGATTCATATCAAAAGAAAAAAAAGGAAATCACAAAAATAATCAGCCAGAGTTGATTGGATCAGCATACTTTATCCAAAACTAGAACATGGGAGTGATGCTACTGCCATCAATAAGAAAAAGCATAACAGAAGATTAAACTTCTTGAAACCTTCCAGCAGAGCTGAAAATTAAATAACTGAGGTCAGTCACTGAAAAACATTTAAGCCCCAGTGACACGGATAATTTTTTTTTGGAGGGGGTAGAGTTTTCAATATGCTAAGTGACATCCAATGGCATAATTTTCAGTATCCATTCCAGGTATGCTTCCTTGTAAAAGCATATGCACTATCTCTCTTCATTTCCCTTTAAGTATATGTAAGATACAAAGCCAACTTTACTTTCCCTGAAATAATTTTCTTCCATAAGCTTAAGTTTCACTGCCTAACAACAAATAATTGGGGGAAGGGGAGATAAGTACTATTTCCATTTGCTTTATCTCATGACTGCTAAGGTCAAATAAAATCATTCTATCACTAAACTCATTGACTTTCCTCAATCTGATAACTTTCCCAAAGAAGAAAAAAATCCAAGACTGTAATCAGAAGGAGTAAAGTTATAAAATATAAAATATAGATTAAAACATATCATGACCAGAAAACAGACTAAAGGAGCTAACAATCTTCTTTATTCCCTTCCAATCAAATGATTAAGAACTGTTCTACCACCTAAAATAGAGGAAAGCCGTGACTGTACACCATCTCGAATATTTCCATTAAAGATGGGTTGAATAACACTTCAGAAGCTTGCTCCCCATTCATAGTCACTTAGCAGTCGAGATAAGTACACGTGCACATATGATTGGATATTATGATTTAATTCTCAAAAGTACCAGAAAAAGAGCTATGGATTCTAAGCCAAAATGTCCCTCTTTGGTCATGCCCATTATGACATAGGGTCAATAAGCCAAGGATGGCATTGGCCTATGTCTTCTTGATTTCTTTTTCCTCTCCCACTTTCTAACATTTGCCTCTTTCACTATTTATTAACACTGGAGGACAAGTGAGAGATTGAAAAAGGTGCAATTCAAACCAGTCTGTTTTACTCCTTATTAGCAACTCTGCTGAGATTGAGTGAAAGTGAGAAAAGAGAGAGAATTAAAAAGTTAACCTGGAATCAGAAGTTGAAACTCATGTCTAATGGAAGTCTGAAATTACAGGCTGATTTTAACGAGTCATACCCTTCCTCTCAAAAATAAGAAAGAAAGAAAAGAAGGATCTGACTGTAAAACTAATACTTGTAAGATGTCTCAAAAGAATACCGGAACACCTTAGCCCCCCGTGTTATCCTGGGAGGCACTCTGAGCACCCTGAAGACCCCCCCTGAGTCAACAGAATGGAAGACTGGCTGCTGTTTGCTTACGTGGAACTTTGGATACTGATTATCTGGACATTTGATACTAAAGCTTCTTAATATGAAGATGAGGTACTCTTGTTTCTACCTTCATTCCCTTCCTTCCTCTGACAGTCATCTTACAATTCCAAACCAATATAACCTAAATAGCTTGAAAGGATAACAAAGATAGCTCCTCATCCCCCAAAAAAAGGATGAGAAGAGGATGAAAAATGAAGACTAATTCCAAATTCAGGAAATGGCCACAAAAGGGATGGAGTTCCACAGCAGAAGAGGCACAGTGTCAGCAGACACACCAGCTGAGAATGCAGGTTTGGAGACCAGGATTATCTTACTCCACACCAACCACCACGAGATCACAAATCAGCAATTGGGGGCCCCTCCAGAACTCATGGTCTTGTTTTGTAGGGACCTGTGCTTAAAAGTCAATATTCCAGGCTTTCTTTACAAAGGAGGCAACGTGGCAACACTGGGACAAGAGGGTTATGTGGCCACAGTAGCTGGCCCATGCTGGCTTGGAGGAGACGCGACAACTTGGCTTTGCCAGCATCTCACTGCAGCCCAGTCTCCACGTAAGCACCACAGGCAGGACAGTTAGCCACTCTGGCCATGTGATGAGATACCTGCCTGAGGAAAATGTCAGAAACGCGGCAAGAGAGGTGCAGGAGCCACAGACTCATGTGCAACTGTGAGCTGTGCCTTTAATCTGGATGCATTTAGCATTAGACGACTCTATCAGCTCCTCTCATAAAAGATCTGCTTTAATTTTAGTTCCCTTTCCATTTGTCTCAGGGTTATGTAACCTCACAGGAGGTCACACAAGTCTCCCAAAAAAGAAATTTAAGCTGTCTTTTAAAAATAAAAAAAGAACCATGCATAGCACAAACACACAACTGAAACTTGCATTCTCTCCCTGGCATGAAAGCTTTACCCTCCCTGTTAATCTCAAAAATTATAATCTTAAGGGAACAAGAAATTAAAACACAAAGCATAGAAAACTATAGCCTGCCCTGGGGACATATGATATGTCATATTCTCAACAAGCTGTCAAGCAGAAAAAAATAGAATTAACACCTTACCATCCTCCAGCTCAAGACAAAGATTATACACAGCCACGGGTCTCTTAATCCTCTGGCCAAGTCTCTTCGATTGTCTTGGTGGCGCATTTGGGGGCGATGTGGACTGGGACATTGGCTCAGGCAATGTGGCATCAGGCAGGGTCCTAAAGATCTGTCACCGAAGCACAAAAGACATTAATTATTTCCCATCAACAGAAACCTGTGTACTGCAACTGCAAAGCGGCATCAAACAACATTTGCTATGTTCATTTAAAATGGGCTGGAGCCCAAAATCTGCTCCTTTGAACTTAAGGGAGAGGTGATGAGCCTTTTATTTATTTTTCCTAACTGAACCTTTCAAAATCAAATTTCTTATTAAGTAAAAGTGGTATCAAATCGTTCTATTTCAAAATAAATCCATCCCCTAGCTGAGCAAGTATAATTATGCTGACCAGGTGTAGACATTCCCCCACTTCTACATCCACAAATGGAGTAGTCAGGAAAAAATGCTAAAAACAAATACCCCATTAGATTTCACACAGGGTTATATTTATGCCAACATGCCCGTCTCAAGTTTTTTTCAAAGTACATAAACAGAAACATATGACTGCAAATGATTTTTACACATTTAAAAATAGCTCAGGCCTATGAAGTTACCTTTCGGATTCCAAGCACAGTTTTCATAAAACGCTTTGCAGATTTTATCAATTCATTTAATACCTTCCAGCTTCTCTTAATTATTTGCCCCCCATTTATGAAGCCTAGAATATCAGCACCTTGACACTCTACACAGTCATTCGCATATCAGCAATAGCCTTCATTAAAATGTGCTGCTTCTTTGCTCAGCAATTGTTTTCATTCGAGAAAAGCAATCTGCAAATGTCACACAGAGGTGACTTATAATAAACCTTTCCACAGCCACCTTGATCTGACATCAGAGGCCTCCTGTACCCCCCATGAGTGAAGAACCTTCAGTCTTCAGTGAAGTCATAAAATATTTTGAGACATCAACCTGACATACACTGTCTCTCCGGAGGGCTGACATTCCTCAAGTGGAAGCAGGAAAGGGGAAGCAAGCAAGCCAGCATTAAACACAATGTAAATATAAAATTCACAGTAAAAACACCGTGGGGAGGCCCCTCACTGCAAGGAAGTGGTTATTTATGCATTTGACTTGCCACATGGGCACATGACCTGTGTATACAATGAGGGCATCACTTACATCCTTGTATCACATTCAATAACAACCATGTCGGAGTTACAATCGCCAAGACTAAAAGTTCTCACCTAAAAACTATTATATACCAATAAAAATATAAACCATTTCAACAGAGCATTTGCTTGATAGTACCATACTGCCCCCTCATGTGTAAATGGAATAAAAACTGATTTAAATGACTGTGGACAAATATTCGCTAGTGAAAACTGAATTGAATGCTCCAGTGGGTAACTGCTGGCGCCATCTTTTCCTTTACCCTGTGCTCCCTTAAGGAAACAATCTGGGAAACAGCAAACTACTTCTCTGCCTTTAAAATCCCTCTGCTTTCTAGACTCTTGCCCACAGCTGGATTTACTGCCATCTGTCATTGTTTAAGTTAAAGACAGCTGTAGAGTGGTGGGGACAGGAGAGAATTTAGGTTCAGAGTATGACCCTGGTGAAGGAGAGAAGATAGGAAAACTTAATTCTACAGAAAGAAAACAGTGTCTATGTGTGAACCACATCTGGAACAGCTTCTTAACTCACTTATGTTTGATCTTCACAAGCGTGGCCAATGCCTTTGGGATGTCCCTGGAATAGCAAAATCAAACAATATGAGACACAACACAGCCAAAGTCTAGAAAAACCATGGAAGAGTCAGATTCCAAGCACCAGCTCTAGAGATGTGATAACCTTCCCAGTAAAACTTCCAGGAAGATCACAGTGCCTGGAATGGTGCAAACACTGAGAATTCTTGCTTATCCTCTTCTTCCCCCTCCTCCTTCATCTTCAAGTGAGAAGGTCATGCAGGTAGGGGATGAGTTGTGGGGATAGCCCTAGTCTACAGAGCCTAGTCCGTAAAGCTCCCCAGGTGACTTTTTGTGTAGCCAAGACTGAGCAACAACAATGTCAACAAGTATCCCATGGCATCCTACACTTGAATCAGAAGGAGCAAAGTTAATATACAAAAATCAGAAAAATTAATCTGGGCAAACTGGTACTGACCATCCGTTATCAATTCCTCAGATCTTCTCAAGTCCTAATGTTTCCAAAATTTTAAAGACCACCCTTTCTCCCAATAAGCACGACTGCATTAGCACTTCAAGAACGAAACTATCATCCAGACGAGTGGGCCCCAGAGCACAGAAGCTCACTTGAGAAGGCACTGTCCTGGCTAACACACAGTCCCAGTCTAGACCTATTGCTCATTCTTCTCATGTGTATAAACTGAGTGTCATAATACCTACCTCTCAAGTTACCAAAGGAATTAAACGTGCCAATGCTTAGAAATGTTTAACACAGCACATGACACAGCAATAATTGGTATAAATTATACACCAGAAATATATGGCAACTATTAGCCCTGGTAATATGACTGCATCTGGTAAATAATGACAAAATGATTACAGACCCTCATCACTCCCCCAGCCACTCTTTTGATAGGGCAGTAACTTCTTGGCATCTTGAATATTCCTCAAATGCAGTTTGCTTTGATTCTGGTGTTTATGGAAATGCTCCTCAGGCAATGGGCTAACAGAAAGCAGTCAGCAGAGTGCCCTGTCAAAAGTTCGGTCACCAGGAATCAAGCAATTGCTTTAAGTATTTATTTCTCCACTTCAGCACTGAAGTTTGAGATTTATTACTTCCTTTTTCATTGAAAACATTTAGCATTCAATAAACACCTACTAGGTGGTAGGCCTTCTCCCATTCAAGTTAATATGCTCTGCAACCATTGAGGTAAGTGATGTTCCCCACATTTTAAAATGAGAAAAGTTCAAAGATTAAACAAATAATCCAAGTCTCCACAGTTTGGAAAGGTAATGTCTGAATACCCAACTCTGAATCCAAAGCCCATTTCCAGGTTATAAAACAAACAAAATTTAATGCTTAGGAAAAAAACGTACTAAGTACAGTGTGCTGTTTCAAAAGACTACAACTGGACAATATTTATATAAACTCTCCACCAGTGTGCTATCCCCCTAGGTGCTTCCAGAATGCATTACCTTTTACATGCATTTACCTGTCTGCCAACACACAGGCCTTCGTTCTAAATTATTATTTTTCTAAGCTACAAAGCTAAGCTCTCAGGGTTCTTTCAAAGACCAGAAATAATTTGAAGGGATATTCTTTATACATTTAGAAGATGAGGGAACAGTAAACTATTTACCTGAAAATAGTAAGTCTTTCTTTTTTTTGGGGGGGGGGTTATAACATTCTAGAAATTAATTAAATTTTAGCTTATTTTGTCCCATAGAGCCAAGATGTGCCATCTTTAAGTATAACACTGAATTTCAATTCTAGAACCACTGCATGGATGCAAATTCCTCTACCCCCTGGGTCAGCTTCCAAAACCATTTGACTCCCCTAACTTCCCTTAGCATCAGGTACCCACCTCACCTTTGTTCTGGGACAGATGGACTCCCCAATAAGCAGTATTAAGAATCAAGAGAGCAAGTCTACGTGACACTTTTTTTTTTCAGGGTAGAAAATTTCATCCCTGCACCTACGTATTTACAACATAAAAAAAACTTAAACCAGACAATCCAATGACAAAAAACAAAACTCCACGCGTAGGCGTTGTCAGGTAAGTAAGCACTTATTCAGGTCTCCTAAGAGTGCCAGCCCAAACACAAGTCTGGCACTACTGTTTAAGGTCACAGAATCCTCAGACTGACACACGATGTTTATGCCCACGGGACTCAGCCACACGTGTAAATCTCTGACTCCTCCCTGGCCTGCCACCAGGGCCCACATGTGGACAAGAACAGACCACTTCCACCAGAAATGCTGTGCAGATAACAGAAAATAAGGTTGGTCCCTGAAAATGTTTCTTCAGTACCCAACTCAAACCTGCAGCACTCAGCTGAGTTAATGAATATCATGGTTCAAGGAAACATGAAAAATAAAGGTCATTCTTAATTTTTAAAGCTGTTTCTACAGGAGAGTCTACTGACCTTTACAGTGATGGGAAGATTACTAATAATTTTTATATTCCTATCATCTGGAATAACAGCTGCAGCTCCTGGGTCCTGGAAATGTACCTGCATCATGCCAAGTACTCAGCCAACAAAGATTTGAACCCAGAGCTTCAGATCCCAGGGCGCACATCTGGGTGACCATGCTCCCCACCTCCACTACCACCCCGTCATAGGAAGTGGAATCTAGGCTACGTCCTCAACAGTGATGTCACATCTCGTATAACTCCACCTCCACATAGAGACACAGGTACAGCCAGGAGAAAGCTGGAAATCAACATAAGCCATTGACAGAGAAAGGAGAAACAAGTTTTCCAACACTATTTCTAAAATATGGACCTGCAAAGTGGCCAGTATCACTTTCCGTGTCAGTCTACAGTGTGTCTGGACAAACACTTCTCACCTCGGGGGTTCTGTGACTTTCAACTGGCTCCGAGGCAGCCTGGCCTTCCGCCTCCATGGGACAGCCTGGAACTTTCCCATGGCCTGTGCTTGGAGCAGGAACAGTGACCCCCTTCGCTGAGTATGTGTCTTTTAGAGAACATTTAGCTGAAGCTGACAATAGGGACTGACAGTAAAACACCAGTTGGGCTCAGGCAGGGCGCTAGAAATATTCTAAAGCTTCATGGGTGTTCTGGTTCATTCAAATCAGAATCTCAGAGCTGACAAGGACCCTGGCTCTCCCTTAGCCAACCTCTGTATTTCACAGTGAACACACAGAGCAGCCTTGCTAGTGCTCACAGGGTCTTGATTAACTCAGGCCTCAATGCCAGGGGCCAGTCCCCCATCCTGCTGGCTCCGACCCCTTCTATCCCACAGGCGATCCCTGTGCGCGGCCCTCCTCGTCAGGGAGTGTCTGCTCAAAGGCTGACACTGTTCAGTGTTCCCACAAGCATTACATGCTACAAGCCTGACACACAGGAGCGAGCTGACGCTGAGCATGTGCAGGGCCTGGCTGGTGCTCTGCTGTCGGCACGAAGCCTGTCCTTGAAGTCACAG